GCAAACAAACTATCGCATTTATAATATTAGTGCTATCTTACTACCTAATAATATATAAATGCGAAAATTTGTGAGTTCCTATGTTTTTTACTCAATCACGTCGAAACGACTGGAGAGATAGATTATGGTCTGGAATAATACAAAGGCTTTTTATCCCACGCGAAAACGGGCGAAGACACTGGCAGAAACTAGTTCAGAAACAAATGATACCTAATAGAAAACGTGATGTTATAAATTTATAATAATTACTAATGAATAGATAGAACGTGCTAATTAGAGATTTGCGCATTTAAACATAAATAAACAAACTCCTTCGGCATTATTATGAAGCAGAAAATAGCTATAATAATTATTTCAAGATTGTAAATTATCGATATTTTAGTACATGATTAGATTAGACCTAACTAAGGCGTAACAGAATTAGTCGGCCAATTATTTTGTCATTTTTGGCCCGATAATTTCCTCCACAGATAAGGAAAATCAAAATTGTGACACAAATTTTGAATATTTCAAGAGATTTTATACAAACGAGGGCATAAAAATGTATAATTAATTTTAGTCAAGTAAACACATCGATAAATACGATCTTTCAGAGTCATATCTTATTTTTGGCCTAGTTATAAATACAAATAATTCACTTAATGACTTTCCTTCCTTTTAACTTTTCAATTAATTCGTTATCAATGTTATTATTCCGTTTACCTCCTATTAACAGTCCCAGTTTCCGTAAATACGACCTAAAGACAATTCCTATTAACATGTAATCACATTTTCCGTCTCAAATCACACAATAAATTAAAAATAAATTACCTACGCACCAAACGAAAAAAAAACACACCACAGTCCACAGTCAACAACCACCGAAAAAAATTCGAAACGTCAAATTTCCCGCGCAAAAAAAGTCACTTGACATGTCACACGCACGGGAAAATAAAAAAGAAAAGCAATATTCGAACGATACCAAACACAAAATTACAAACACAAATGTCGAAAAACTTCGTAAAACTTGTTAATGTCGAAAATCGGAGGACGTTATGCCACTCAGAATGTCGGAGGAGTACTGAATAAAACTTATTATTCTCTGTGGTAACTGAAGGCTTTGCCGCGAAAATGTTGGACGTCACGCCAATGGCGGCCGAATGACCGAAATGATTACGTAACAAAACGCTTATTGCATTTTGATAACTAGTTTTATATTGTTCGTTCATTTTATGTATATTTTATTCAGTAGAAAGTCAATGGCGTTTTGTTTAACATTGTAAAGATAGATAATAAAATTAGTTTCGTTGTTGAAGAGTTTATTTTTTTTTGCAACGGATTCTCCAATAAAGTGTTGTCGACTATACTGCCAGTGTTGAGTAGTTGAGGTAGGATTTGATGTTTGATATCCAGAATGACCAAAATATTTATTACGTACCTACTCTTTAATTTTAAATTCTATCAGTTATAAGTAGATAAGTACTGAATTTTGAAATTTGCCTGATGCTTCGTAGTTAGAAGGGACACGCTACCATTGAAACTTTTTTAATATACTGATAAGACTTCAACTATAGACTTTGCAACCACTCGATTATCGAGATAGGTAGTTTATAAGTAAATATTAATTAGGTATCATGTCCTGCTAAAAAACCACTAATTTCTTTATACATTTAAGAGCGAAGAAACGGAGTTATTAGCGCTTATTCTTTTTCATTTCTTGATAAATTTTTGCCGATTCAATATTTAATTGGTAACGTACCTATGTCATATAAAATGACTCTCATTTTCTACGTTTTGATAAAATGAAAAAAAAAACGCTAGTAGTTCTTTGCTCCGAATTGCAGGTAAAATGCACGATTTTATACAATAGAAAGATTGATTTTTGCACTATTAAGGAAAATACTCTTATTTCAAGGAAGGAAATTAAATAAATTATATCTGAATTTATTCTAACCCATTCACAGCATTGTGTGGTCGTTGCATTCACATCACACACTAGTGACATCTATGTTGCGTTTTAGGAAGTAAACCTCTTAGGATGTGGATATGTTACAATGATCAAGTAATAACCAGTTATTGTCTGGATGATTGAATGAACTTCCATAATGATAGAAGGATTATGCTGGGCTAGCTATTCTTGCCGGTTGATATCCCAAAACCTATTTCAGATGGGGACTACAGTTTTTTTGTTCATCAGATGATGCTATTGTCATTGTGTGAACCTCTCGTCTTTTCGTCCAATAGACCATTACTTAGGGTCATATCATTGGTTATTCAATTTTTGAGAGCTACGGTGATGGACAATAAACACCTAGCCTCACCTAGCATCACTGACGGACTGACTGACTGACATACTAATATTATTTTATATTTATTGGCGTTGTAAAAGTACCAAATTATGGTTTAATTGAAAAAAAAAATGCTTTGATATTGACTTTGGTCATTTTGCTACAATTGCGGCAACTGGTGAGCAAAAATACCGTTAGCCCCTCATTATTGAATGGGTCTCTGCGAGTTGGTTATGGTTCCGTGAACGGAACTAAAGTAACGGAGTAAAAACAATTAAAACTGAAAGTCTCGAATATCTGAGGCGGCTGACGTTAGATAGGTGGGTCAAGGGTCTGATGAAGTACGCAGTACTTCTTCTGGATACGGTAGCGATACGTATTGTCCAGAGATCCCTTTGCCTAATTGATGATAACTTAGACTCCTATCGTTACCGTCGGAATACATGCATTTCTATTTTTTGTGACTGTGTTATTTTTCTGTAGAAAATTATTGAAAAATGTATGTAATAAGTAAAACATTTTTTTTTAACTAGAGAAGGTCTGGACAGATTTTCATGAACTTTGTGAACATTAGTTGGATCCATCCAAATATAGAAATATTATTTTCCAACGTAACTTACCAACGAGACTAAATAATAGAGTCAATTTTTATAAAACGCATAACAACAATCAACGCCATCTATCTTACACAACTAGTAACACTTACCTCAAAGTACTGCGTTTCTCCGCTAGAGCGAGTTGCTGTGCTACTGTCAAAGGCCTAGGTCTGTTCGGCCTAGGCGCATTAGGGAAGGAATCCCTTCCTTCATGAGCTGGTCCATCATCAACTGGCTCCTGCTCCACCTCCTCACCAACCACAAAGTTGGCACCGCCCTGGAAAATGAAGAAAGGAATTTGATCTTAATTTGTATAGAAATGAGATATCGTTGTGTTTTTGTCGATTCGAAACTGTTTGGTCTGCCGAGCAAGGGAGTCCATTTAGGTACGGGTCGGGCATGGGGTTGTGTCGGCTTTTAGCATGGTTCAGTGAGAATCGTGCTCTGTACCCGGTCTAAAGCAATGCTCACTCTCCATAAGCTCAATTCCAGTTCCAATATACTCAAAACTGGTGCAAAGATTGGGAGAGCCATGCTTCGGCAAGAATGGGCCGGCTTGACTGGAGTATACCTAGAGTGGCTTCACAGAAAACCGACGTGAAACAACGCGTTGTGTTCTGTCCTGTGAGTGAGCAACAATTCTCAAATTCATAATCTCCAAAAGGTCGGTAACGCATTTGTAACGCCTCTAGTGTTCAAGGTGTCTATGGGCGACGCCGATTGCTTACCATCAGGTGATCCGGCTGCACGTTTACCGGCTTATCCCATTAAAAAAATATAGTAGGTACTATTTAGCTCATTTTTTGATGGAGAGCATCATGTAAAAAGCCTAATTTTTAATATACTTACACTTTCTCTTGCCTCTTCCGATTCTATTTTTTCAAAATTATCACTTTCACTGGACGAACAGCGTGCTTGATCCGGCTGGTCCGCCATTTTGGTATCTGAAACGAATGAAAATAAAATTTTACTTATTGAAATACCGCTATTCTATTTATTTTAACGCAGGCTAGCAATGTAAGAAAGAAAAGAAAAAAAGAAAGAAGATCCATCGTGTGATTAGTCTGGTCGTTTGTCACTTTATCCCATAAAAAAGGTCAGTCTGGAGCCTGTATCTAGAACGTAACGTATTTCAATGAAGCGTTCTACAATGTAGTGTCTCTACTCTACTCTGTACCCTGTACTCTACTCTGTACTCTCTAGCTAGGCGGAGTGACAATATCAAGAATAAGAATAAGAACGGTTATTTGCACGAAGTATGGTAATTACAGATAATAATAATTATAAATAAATAGTCCCACATACATCGCCTACTGTTTTCGGCATGCAAAGTTAAGTTTTACAATATAATAAAGTTAAAATGTTACATTCAATAAAACCAATTACAAAAATGCTTACAACTAGGACAACATATTATTTCTCCTAACATATTATTATTACTTTTCTTCTATATTCACATATTTATCATTTTAGTGACTTACTAAATAACAACACAATTAATATTGAACTTTCATTGTAAGAAACTCCTCTAAGGTGTAAAAGTAACTGTTGATTAGTAGTCTATTTATTTAATGTAATCTTAAATTTATTTAAAGGCAATAGTGACAGCTGTGTGGCTGGCAGTGGTTGGATGACAAGAGCTGAAGACCGAGCTCAGCATGCTATTCAAGAAGCCTATGTGCAGTAGTGTACGCAAAACTTTAAAATTATTAGACTTAATTTATATAGCGCCAATAACTTTACTAATAGCAACAAGTTGTTTACCGTCAACTTTTATTATCTATTTTCTTGTAGGCGCTCTACATTTGACGTAACGAAGGCACTTAGTATAAACAGCTAATTAGCATATAACTAATTAATGATACGATAGTATTATGTGACGTCTTGAATTAATATTCCACGGCAATTGACCTGTGAAGTCGGGTTATTGAGGTGCGTAAAACCTACTTAATTATACCCAATAGACGCAAATTATAATGAATGAATGTGTCTATATACTTTAATACTTGTCTTGTCTTTTAAAAAACGAGGCTTCAAACTAGAATTTTCTCCTGTGTCGTGGGTGCGTTTACAGACATACAAGTTCACATACACATGACACACAGACCCGAAATAACAATTAGTGGATCACACAGAGAAACAAAGGAGATAACTATTTTTTATTTTAATGATTACTTGTGCTGTTTTGTGTCACTTACAGGTTGATGTAAACGAAAATGTCGTTAATTGTCACCTATTTTAGCTTAGGGGTTCCTTAAAAAAGATAGGTTGGTCAAAGCTTAATTCCCGTTACCACGCACGATGAACTTTTATTCTTGGATTCAACGCCAGAGTGTGATGTGTTTTCATGTGAAAGAAGATTATTTTTGTCGGATTGCTTTAAGTTTTGCGAAAGAGTTGAAGAAACTATAGTATGTAATAATGATTAAGTTTTTAAATGTATTATTTCTTTATTCAATTGTTTGGTCAGTGGGTCGTCTTAGGGGCAAGGAGTTTACGACTAAGAAAAATTTTCATCAGAAATGAAAATTCTTATAAATGGTTAGTTTTTCATTTTCATCGATTAGTATACCTAATAATACAGCGAAAATCATCTGGACACCTTTTGTCTAGGACTTCAGGTTCGCGCCTGAAAATGAGCTCTAAAGGTCAGTTGGCAAAATATTAAAACAAGCGCTTTTAAGCGCTCGGCGGCCGCTGCCGCGGCACCGCTCGCTACGCTCCTCGTGCCCCTACACTCTAACCAATGTCACGGAGAACCTAACGGGTAACCGGGGCTCCGACTCGACGTGCAGGAGAAGGAACGGGGTGGTTTTTAGTCAGTAAGAGTCTGACACTCCCTCCCGCCTCACCCAGACAGGGATCAGTCATTCGATGATTTTCCCCCCTTAAAAAAAAAAACACTCTAACCAATTGTTTAGGTATTGAGTAGTGTAATTGGTTTATTGTACCGTTCTATTCGTTTAAATAAATAAAACAGGAGTCTGTTTTATTATTTATTGGATACTAACGACCCGCCCCGGCTTCGCACGGGTGCAATATGCATGTATTATACATACAAACCTTCCTTAAGAATCACTCTATCTATTAAAAAAACCGCATCAAAATCCGTTGCGTAGTTTTAAAGATCTAAGCATACATACGGACATACAGCGAAAGCGACTTT